CATTCAATATTAGTAAAATGAGGTGGAAGTATCTAGGACTTGCCGTTGATTTTTATAAATTTTTTGCTTTTTCTTCCATACGAAGATTTTTTATATGGAGCAACACCTTCCGCAAAAAAATTGCCAAAAATCACCGGTAAGTCCTAGCTACAAAACTGCGTTCTCAAAATATTTCCAAAAAATTTAGTCAAGAAGCTCGAAATTTTGGCCAGAATTTGTTAGTTTTTTTTTAATATTGCACAAAATTTGAAATTTGGGTCTATATGGTTTTTGTAAAAAGTACTAATGCATAAATAAACAAATATTACAAATGTCAGAAACTAAAATATAGACCTTTTATATAGAGAACTTTTAAGAAAAGGATTCATTGTACATAAACAGGCAAGGAATGAAAAAATTATAATTTTGATGTCTCCGTTGAAGGAGTCTGATGAGGAGATGTGGTGATCTCCGAAATAGCAGCTATAACTTCTACCAAAATGTAAATTGTTGTGTTTTCCCCTAAAATTTTCATTAAAATAACGGCCTCAAGGTCAATATTGTTGAATTTTGTCAAAAGGTAATTTTTTTCATTTGAACATGTGCAGGCTCGAAATTCCGAAAATACTATGCGATTTTGTAAAAAAAAAAAGAATCGACCCACCCTAATGTACATATGTATATGCATATACTGAAAGTCGAGAGTTCAAATATACATACATACATATAAAATTAGCCAACAAGAGAAAAACTGTCACAATTGTTATACATACATATCCTGTCGTTATCCTAACAAATAATCGTTTTCTACCAAGATCATACTAATGTTTTGTACGCAATTTCGAATTCACTAAAAATTTAACATGGCATACAATCTTTGCTTTTTCATTGGCTTACCAAATACGAGCACGATAACCGCAATCATTGCAAAGAAAATCGTATAGTCCCAGGAAGAGTGCACGGGGCCAGGTTGTGCATAGCGCCGCATAAAATCTTCAGCTGTGCCCTCTTGTGGATTATAAAGATTCTCCTTCAAATTCGCCTTTTCCTCATCGCTAATACCCTCCATTTGTTCGATCAACTTCCAAACCTCATCAACACTGGGCATTTTATAATCACCACCGATATCGCCAAGGTGGTCACCTGAACCGGCAGCAGCAAGTGCTGCAACATCCTCGGCAAATTGTTTTTGATTTGCCGGATCATCAGCCATTGTGAGCAAAGTATTTGTCTGTCAAAAGTGTCTTGCTTGCGTTTGTTAGATATTCCTTTTGCAATATGCTTAGCACTTGTTTGAGAGATGTTGTTAATTGGCACTTTAACGAAATTCTAAGGCAATACTTGTTTTACACTACATTGGATTTTTATTTAGGTTTGTTTTCTTTAGTTAATTATTATTTAAATTGGAAAAACAAAAATATTTATTTATAGGAAAGAAATTCGTTTTTTATACATACATACATAAGTACATATATATTAGAGTGGTCTAAAAAGTTTAAAATGTTAAGCTCTCACCCCCTAGAATGTATCCAAATGGATTGCAAAAATACCCGTATTTTTTGTTCGAAAAAAATTATTTAGAACTGCCTCAAAACCATTCTACGAAAGTGTTTTTTCCCATATAAAATATGCATGTATGCACGTGAAAAACTTCATGGGCGTTGAAAAATCCTAGAGAGCTTAACATTTTAAATTTGTTTCCCGCATTTATTTTTGGACCACCCTGGTATACATATACAGATGTATCGAGTTCAAGTGGGATGTGCTTGCAGGGAGGAAGGGACGACTACATCGTACGATCATACAAATTACAAAAACAGTAAAATCGTGTAACGTTTGTGTGATAAATATATTATATAGGATATCTGATTAGCAATACGTCTGTAAAAATAAAACTCCCTCGTAATGCTCTTTCTTATTTTAAAATAACATCGAGCCCTAACCGCCAAAATAACGTAAGCGACATTTTTTTCAAAATTTTCTTTTTGATGCAGAAATATTCCTAGAGCATCTAGATACATTTCTGCATCAAAAAGAAAATTTTGAAAAAAATGTCGCTTACGTTATTTTGGCGGTTAGGGCTCGATATATCGTCGTTTAAAGTGAAAAACCGCGTAACTTACATTTGCTGCCAAAAATTGGATTTGCTCACACAAGCTCTGGGCTCAATCGCTATCCATT